ACCTGTAGCCTTTTTATCCAAACCAAAAATTCAAGTTGAATACAAAAATGAAATAAAATCATTTACACCAGAAGAAATATCATCAATGGTCTTAACAAAAATGAAAGAAATAGCCGAAGCTTACTTAGGTATATATTCATTTTTCGTCTTACTTTGCAGCTTACAATTCGTGTTTCCTTTCAAGGAAAAAAAATTTCTGACGCTGTCGTCACCGTATCTGCCTATTTTAATGATTCGTAACGTCAAGCAACAAAAGATGCTAGAGTCATTGCTGGCTTGAATGTTCTTCGTATTATAAACGAACCAGCGGCTATTGCAATTGCCTATGGTTTGGATAAAAAGGCTACTGGTGAACGTAACATCTTGATTTTTGATTTGGGAGGCGGTACATTCGATGTTAGTGTACTCAAAATTGAAGAAGGAATATTCGAAGTAAAATCAACCGCTGGAGACACTCATTTAGGAGGTATGTTTATTGTGTGCATTGTTATTTAATGCTTCATAATATTATGTTATTTTTTTCATTATTTGCTGGAGAAGATTTTGACAATCGAATGGTTTCACACTTTGTTCAAGAGTTTAAATGAAAGAGTAACAAAGATTTATCNTAACAAAGATATATCACAGAATAAACGTGGACTTCGTCGATTAAGAACAGCATGTGAACGTGCGAAGGTTAATATATAGCACGGGGACCGACAAAACAAATTGGTGGCTTTATCGTCGACGAATTCTGTCATTTCAGACAAGAATCGTTCACGAAAAAAGATGAAAAATTAAAAGAAGAATCTTATCCGATCAATCAAGACAAATTTAAAGATTTTTGTCTAACATGATAACAAACAAGAAGCTTGCAAGAATACCCACAAGAACGTCGATCAGTGTCCTTGGGTACGTGATCATGATGATGACGTGATCTAATCAATAGGCAAAAGCAAAAGCCAACTACTGTTTAGAAAAGAAAAGAAAGAAAATGAAATATAGTTGATGACGATTATGAAACAACGCGTAAGATTTGCATTTTAGAGTCATGAAGACAACAGTATTGACGATGATTTGTCCAGTAAGAACAAAGCATTGCTTTAGATGGGTGGTGTATCCACTGAGTGATCTAATAAACTTTGTGTCCATTTTTTTTGAATTTTTTGAATTTTAAGTTAACAGGCAACAGGTGAAAACGGCAGAGAATCTGTTTGATCAAGAGGCCGAATGTGTTGAGTCTGAAGGTCAACCTCAACATTTTTTATAATATACTTTTTTTAAAATGAGTTTTAATGATTTCTGAATGATTCACAGCACTTTCCTAACCATACACTTTCGTCACCAGGTAACGATGAAATTTTGTCACATGATGAAAATTTTGTTTTCCAGTGACAAAAATTCACTCTGCATATGACAAAAGTTCTTGCGGTGTGTGACGAAAGTTTAACGATGTTTGAATTGTGGTTACGGAAGTTAACCCCTCTTGTAACGAAAGTGTCTGGTTTTTCAGAGAGGTCGGCACTTTTGTCACACGTTGCATGAAACGGCTGCAATGAAATCAAGGTTTAGTGCAAAGTTCATTAGTCTAAAGTGTTGTAGTGCAAACTGGAATAGTCCAAACCGCACTGTAGCAGTGCAAAATGGAGCAATAACTTCTTGCTTCTTTCTTTACAAACATCGCATTTTCTTAGCGAAACGCGTAAAACCCTTTTAAAGTCATTTTCTAAAGTCAAAGTATCAAAATCAAGCGTCTACTGCTTTTGGGAATAGTTCGGTTGAGGGTGGTCCACGCTGCAGTCCAATTTATAACAGCCCAAATGCAGGCAGTTCTAGTCCAAATTGGAGTAGTCCAGTAGTACTTTTTGGGTTGTGACGAAAGTTTTAGGTGTGTTACAAAGTTGCTTACGAAAGTTCAACACTATGACGACAACGTGGGTGGTACTTCCCCAAAAATATCATACACTTTCTTCACGTATAACGAAAGTTCTTTTTCTATGTGACGAAAATTAACGTGACGAAAGCGCTATCACTCTTATGAACATGCGTGTTGATAAATATTTTTTTATTTTATAACATTATAATGGAATAAAACATCTCCCGATACATTTCAGGATATCTTGCATCGGTTAGTAAATCTATAACAAAGAATGCTTCGATCCAAAAGTAGAAATGTCATTGACGGAAGAAGTCCTTGACAGTCTGAAAATAAAAGTGCAGTATCACAAATATTAAGTTCGGTGTTCAGAACTCAATGCATTGTCACCGATCAAATTTGAAGCTAAACAAATATCAAAATCGAGTTCGAAAGTGACTATTAAAAAAATCATAATGCTTGATTTTTAACACGTTTCAAAAGAAATCCTTCCTAACGGTTCTAACATTTACCAAATTCGTAAACTTATTGGATTTTTCGAGCTATGCAGGATGTTCTTCGAAAAATAAAATATGCTCTTTACTGGCACAACGCTATTCAAAATTAAAAACACTAGAATATTTAAACGGACGTGTACACTTTGTTGAGAAAATGAAACATAGAGTTATTATACATCAGAGAGTACTTGAATGAGATGAATACGGATATGTAATGCGTTTCCACTGAAGACATAGCACATACGATGGAATTCATACTCAAATTTATTGCATTTATATGAGTCAAAATAGAACTTATATGATCAACATGTTTAAAATTTTATGCATTTACTTTTATGAAATAGTGGGTTAATTTCGAAGATTTATATATACTGTAAATGAATAATAATAAATTAGCTTATAGCGAATGAGCTATTTTAAATATTATAAGGTGCAGCTAATGCAAACTTGCAGTGGAGTTCTTTTATGCGGCAAACAGTTTACAGTTAGGTTTAACTAATCATCATCATCACCCAGCTGCTCTTGAGCAGGCGACCATTTAACCAGTATCTTCTCAATCTATTAAATTTTTGATTGCCTGCAATGTACGAATAAGTGATGAATGATTTTCATTCAAACGCGGTTTCTGAATATCAACTGTTTGTTGAAAACAGACATAGGCATTGTCATAATCTTGTTTACGATGATAACATAGACCCAAATTGTATAATGTCAGTGCTATATTGGGATGCTCATCTTGTTGAAATACATGTTTTTGATCGATTAAAATATTTCTGTATGAATCGATTGCTTTATCATACTCTTTTTCTTGTTCAAAATATAATACATGCGTTATATATGTATCCAGTTGCAAAATAGATGGATGTTTGTAATTATATAAATTTTGTCTTATAGCCAATGATTGTTGATAGTAGATGTATGCGTCAGTGAGTTGTCTTCTGTCCTCACAAACATTTCCAATATGAAATAAACATTTACTTATAGATGGATGATTATTATTTGTAAAATTTTGTTTAAATATTTCAAGTGATTCTTGATGATAACTGAGTGCTTTATCATATTCTTTTCTAATTCGATATATTTTTCCGATTGCATCCATACATTGAGCAATCAATGGATGATTGAAATTAAAAATATGTTTACGTACGTTCAATGCATATTCGTAGTTATTTAGAGCACAATCAAAGTTACCTATATCATAATAGATATCACCTAATAATGATGTAATATCACCAAACGCTCGATGAGTTTTGGGTACAGATTGTTTATACATATCGAAAGCTTGCAATGCATAATTCAATGCTTTTTGGTAATTACCTTGACGATGATTAATATTACTTATCGAAGATAAACCATCTGCAGTTAATGAATGAACACAAGGTAAAATTTTCTTATTTCCTTCAAGTGCTTGCCAATGGTATTTTAATGAATTATTATAATCACCTTTTTTATCGTAGACCCATGCAATACCGCGCAATGTTGATGGTATTAATGAATGATCTTGGTCTTTAAATAGTATTCGTTCCATATCATATGCATCTTGAAAATATGTCATTGCTAGATTGTAATCACCTTTTTCGACATTGACACAACCCAAGTAAAATAAATTATATGCACAATTTACATTTGCATGTAAGTTCAATATATCTGTTTGTATGTGTTTTGCCAATTCGTAATACTGAAGTGCGTCATCAAGTTTTCCGCTGTAATGCAATGATCGACCCAGATACTGATAACAAATTGATCGACCCTCGTGATCGTTCGATGATAGCGTATCTAATAATTTTCTGAAATATATTTCTGATCTCGAATATTCGGCAATGTCTATAAGTATACGTCCGAATAATATATTAACATTGGTTTCTTGTAATTTGATTTCTTGTAATTTTAAATATTGTTCAATGTGACCTTGACCATTATCACTTGCACTTAATTGGATTGACCACACATTTAACTTATCATCATAATAAATACGATTTATTTGAAATACAGCCCCAATATGAAATAAAACTTCTTTTTCATCTGGAATTGTACTATAATTTTCAATATCAGCATAAATTATATTTTTTAAATTATAATTAGTTTTAATCTGAAATAAAACAGCTATTTTATGCTGATAATTATGGGCAAATAGTCTTGCAACGTTAATATCAGTTGTTGTAGAAAAGAAACAGTTTGTTGATATCAAATTTCCTTTGTTACTCTTTAACTTTTCTAATTCATCATAAGTCATGAACTGTCCTCGATAGACGACTAATTCACTTTGATCATGTTTTAATTGTCGTTGTTGTTTGTAAATGCTAGATAATTGTGTACAAAGATCAACAATATAAAATCTGTATGTGTAAAAGATCAAAGGTGGACAATGTATAACCTATCCTTTTATCGCTGATTGTTGACCACGAACCACTAATATGGTCATGTAACAACGTATAAACTCTACCACTCGCTGTTCAAGAAATCCGAGTTTCAGACAATCAGGTAGAGAAATATTAAATTGTTCTTGTAGCCATCGTGTTAAAAGGTTAAAATTAAGAACAAAAAAATCCGTTACAGCCGCCGATAGAAAATAAATGGAACATGGTTTTGTTGTCAACTTTTTATTTGTGAATACACGTTAATGAAACTTGAACGGCATTTCGAAGTCACAAATGAAATTTTTTTCTTGTTAGTTCAGGACTAAATTTTTGTGTAAAAGTTGAGATTTGGATCAATATCTTAATCAAACACTGTCTTGTCCATCACGAACCGGATTGTCCAAGAATTCATACGTATTTAGACTCAGAAATTAGCACACTAAATGGCGTCGAATGACCTGTAAACATTCTCTTTAATTCATTTCCACTTGTTATAGAACTACATTAACGTTCATTTGAACTTTTAAGAAAGTCCTGACAGATATTTCTAAAACAGCTTCAATCTCCGATTTCTGTAAGTTCGTCTGTATATTTCTCAATTGGAGTTCTACATGTAATTGGTATTTGATCTCAAAATAAAAGTGAGAGCAGTTAATGTTTTATGGTTCGCGTGTGAATATTACCGATAAGGTGACGTTTGTCATATGTGAAGAAAGCATTCACGCTTGGACTTTCAGAGAATGTA